TGTAGAACCACATTTCCGCTGCCTTTATATTTCTACCCATCTGTTGCGTGATTGCTCAGCATTCACTGTCAAAGAAGTGGATGGTTACTACATAACAATCCAGCATTTCACACCAGAATGGTACATCCCGTCAGTCCAATGTGTGTTCAGATCTCGGTATTAAAATACTTCCAGATATTTAAAATTCGGCGCCTGCTTGATGTTGATATCTCATGGTTGTCATTTGCATCTTAGGCTTTTTCTCTTTCTGATGAACATACTTTCTGTTTTCGGTTAGTCCTTTTCTTCCTCGCTTTCTTCTACTGCCCTGGCTCAGAGGTCCTGTAAATTTATTTCCGAGTCGGCCATAAACACAGTATCATCTACGCCCACCAATAATAAAGCATAGTAGGTATCACCCATAGGATTGCGTCGACGTAGTCGAACAAATTTGGGTAGAAGGCACATCATTGTTTCACACCTCTTTCTCTTTTTGTGTTGATACTCAATTCATTTTCTATACATATCCAGGCTGTTTGCTCCCAGAATGTGGAGGATGGTCAGCAATTGGTCAGAGTACCTTGTTACGTGATATTCTGACTGTGATGGATTGCCTTTGTCTAAGGTTTAGATAGAAGTTTAAAACGGCGCGAAGTAAACAGAGGACCGCGGAAATTTTGAAGTGTTGATACGCTTCCCACACCCAGGTTCGAGGAACAGCCTAAAACCACATACAGAGAGATACTCAGCCAACGAGCGTTCCCTTGAAGGTCTTCCTCCCACTGCCTCCTATAATCCATACTCTCTAACTCTGTCCTTTCCTCCGAGAAAGAAAAAGAAAACCATCTTTCGTTTATACAATATATGAAGTAATGTTGCAGTGATGACTCGAATTTATGAATGAAGTTATAGGTATCAAAACCTGGGATGTAATAGTTGGAGCTGATACGATGTATTGCAACAAGATTTAAAGTAAAGAATTTACTTGATTGCACATTGTGCATGCGACGACCACACAATACCCAAGCTCACAATGATATCTCAGTGTGTTGTAGAGTAGTTTTCACAGTGGAGGCTTGTATTTCAATAAGTTGTCCTAAATTAGGTTCGACGTACAAAACGTTAGGAACTTGAAAATAAGAGTTAATGATGCAGCAATCTAGTTGTGATGGTTGGTACTTCAATGTCCGATATTGTCTGACTCGCTCAACACCACTGAACCGAACTGGCGACCGCTACTACTACTACTACTTATTATGTGTGGGAGAGTCTATAGGTACGTTCAGGTATAACACAGTGTCAACTGGGTAAGTCCACACTACATGAAAATAAGGTTCTCTCTGAATGGTTCCCAATTCATATCAAGACCGCGTAACTAGTCCTTTTAGTTATTCACAATAGCTGGAGATGTTTAGCTCAAAGGTAGCAAGACATGCACAAAACCGAAAAATATTATCCAAATATTGCTTCTTTGAAAACGTCGATAATTTCTTTAATCAATTTACATACATTTACATAAATTTAATCTTAATGACTGTTCTGGTCAAGAGTTGAATTTTTAAAAAAAACTTTTTGAAAGAGACATAAAAATATAATTCAGTTTAAGATTTTAATGAAATGTCGTCATAAAGTGTGTAAAATTCTGGAAATAATGTCGCGGGTAAGTTTCCAGAGATTTTCGAGTTTGGAGGTATGGTGGTGTAATGGATAGCGGCTCAGATTGAAGAATCGGAGATCTGAGTTCGAATTCCAATTGAGATCCTTACATTCACTTACGTGCAAATAACTTTAGGAAAGGAATGAATCTAATCTCCTTCCTCCCGGCTATGGCTAAATAGGAAGACATACTGGGTTCTATAGCTTGGGTGGCTTGTCAACTCTGAATACAAAACCATCAACTATAGGTGAAATAGCCTCACCAACTCACAATTGCCTAAGTATGGTGAGTACGGCTACATCCCTTAAGGCATAGTCAATCAAGGGTGGGTCCTTCCAAGGACTGAAAATGTTCTGGATCTGTTCTAGTGAGCTTTTATCCCGCAATTGGTTAGGCGTGGTGAGGATAAAGGTCAAAACATCGTCATTTCGTTTCATTCATCACAACTTCAATTGGACTTAGATGCAGCACAAGGCCGAAAGTATGGAGCATCCAGTGAGGATTGAACTCACTACCCAGTCGTAATTGATCTAGCAAGACAAGCTTTCTAACCATTAGACCACGTCGAAGTGCCCGTGACGAGCTCATATGAATGAATAGAGATAGGCGTGGGGGCGGGGGAGATGGTAAAAAGACAAACATTGCTAAGAGCTAAAAAGGATAGGAAGTTGTAGAAAGCCATGATCTCGGTTACGTCTTGAAGGATCACGCCACATAGAAGGAGGAGAAGAAGGAGGAGGAGGAGGACGAGAAGAAGGAGGAGGAGGAGGAGAAGAAGAAGAAAGGTGTGTGTGTGGGGGGGGGCGTGCAAGCAGCTATTTTTCTTCTCTTTTGTCATCTGTTTCATTAATTCCCTGTTGGGTAAGCATAAAAATAAAGAATAAGAAACGGAAAGAAAAATTCAGTTTAACTTTGAAAAAAATTCTGTCATTCTGTGATGATACGAAACAAAGAGATATTCAAAATATGTTGAAGGAGTCAGTCCCCAGCTGCCCCTGCCCACCCCTAACTAATCTATACGGTAGGGTACTACAACCTATGGCGGAGATAGGAGTGCTTTGCCATCGTCTTTAGGGAATTATTTTTGTCATATCAAAAGGACAAACAGGCGGTGAGGGTAAACCAGATTTGAAAGTCACGTGAGAAACAGGAAATAAAAAATGCAAGCAAAGAAAGACAAAATAAAGACCCGCATTTAGCAACCTTTTTTTTTTTTACAGTTATTTTTTTTCTCCTTTGGTGATGACCCAACAAAAACACTGTACTTTGTTCTTTCTAACGATCTGGGAAGATTTCTATTTCTCTAGTAAAAAAGGATGTCGTGACAAGTAATGCTGTAAACATGAATATTATATGCACACGCTATATTTTAGTAACTAATTATTTCATTTGTGGAGAAGGTTGTAAAGAAATGTTCTCTATGTGAACTGGACACTTATTCTAGAGAGCGTATTTCTGTCTGATTGATACTGTAAACTGAAACTTCTGGTTAAATCTGACCATTTCGTTTCATTCATCACAACTTCAATTGGACTCGCCAAGTCAATTACTTCTGAAAATGTAACACCGAAATCCGAAGGTGAGAAAACAGCGATTAATGCTTTTCAGAAACCGAACAAGAGTCTATAGGACTGAAAATATTGGGAAGAAAAGAGTGATGGTCTACTTTATAATGTATAACCGATTATATGGCAGCGAATGTTGGACAAGTTCCATTGCAAAGGAAAAAAAAGATGTTTGAGAACCTAAATGTAATTCTACCAATGATTATTGAGAATAACATCGATAAAGCGAGCATACGGAAAAGGAAATTTTTTTTAGACAGAATGCAAAGTACATAGAAACAGATAAACACTATTTATTAAATTGTTTATATTCACTATTTATTTATTATGTTGTTAATTGGAATTGTCGGCAAAACACTGGCTAATTGCCAATTGATTCGAACTTTATAAAAGGGTAAATAATAAACATTTCCTGATAGCTGATTCACATATTTTAATAATTTAGTAAATGTTTATAAATTAATGATTAAAAAATTGTTTTCATATTTATTTCTTTATAAATTGGTAAATGATAAATATTGCATTGCATTATTACTAATTGTGTTAGTTTTTTAAAATGTTATACATATAAAATTATTATTGTAAATAAACAGTCCAATAGAGGAAAGAAGACTCGGAAAATTTGATACCCAAAGGATATATCGAAGACAGATATGGTAGAAGTGAAGAGATAGTAATATATCTAATGTATCTGGGTGAGTGGATGAGAGTATTGATGAAATTTAATGGTAAATTATCAAGCGTTGATTAAAAGTAGAAGTGTCAATCAGAGATAGAGAGATGTGATTGCCCTCGCCCTGAAGCGGCTCGAAACATAAAGGAAGACATTCCTTGGTTCGGCATAAATGATGATGTTTATATACCGGAAAATCTGTGGTACATGTCGATCTTATTCGTTCAACTAAAAAGTATATATATATATATGTAAGTAACGAAAATCTTGGTAATCCGTATAGATAATCCCAAGGGGGATGAAATCTGGAGAGCTCAATGTTCAGTTAGAGCGAATAATTAAATTTAAAGAAAAAACAGACCATCTTAATGTTCCATTGTTATAATTTATTTCATTTTATTTTTCTCTGGATCTTCAGACTTCACTTTCAAAGGTGAAAAAATGAATTTAAGATTTATACTTTTTAAATGAATTTAAGATCTATATTTTTTAAATTATATATATATATATATATATATATATATATATATATATATATATATTAATACAAGTATAAAATTTGTTACTTAGCTGATTGGTGTTACCTTCAGCGTCCCGACTCTATAGTTCCGTAGACGAACCCTCCAGCAATTACTCCGTTCTCTCGTCAAGGAATATCAGCATCCTTAGGTCTTATCGCTCTACTCTTCAATTAGGTACATGTAACCGTTAATTCTATTCTCATAGTTCCTTTTATCGCACGTCTCGCCTGTGAAACTCTTTTTTCCAGTTTCTTGCTTGCCAGCCACTTGTAATCTTCAAAAATTTAAGTGCAACATCAATCGCAATCTTCTGTTTGTCTGAAACTTATTATTTTATTGTCCTTTCTCCTCACTAAAGCATTTCCATTTTCTTTCACTCATAGTGAACACCTTGCGTCTTAGTGGCATTATTGCCTTGATTGAACTGAAATGATAAAAAAAATTGTGAAAAAGTTTCCAGCGATTTTGTTTTAATTGAAACTAGAAGAGACTTTCTAATGTGCATTCAGTCTCTTGCATGAGAAAAGAAAGAAGAAAAAAAAGGGGGTCTGGGAATTTTTGCACACCCTTAATACTGGCGTTTGTTTTTATCTACTTATTTTTAGATCTCCAGGGAGGCAGTTACAAACTGCAAGTGTCGAATCGTTGTGACAAGCTGTGCTTAGACGGACGTGACTGTTGCGACGAGAAAGCGTTCTGCACTTGTGGCACACACACAGGCAACTATGAATGTCTCTGTAACAAAGGTTACTATGGGAACGGTCTCAAAGGCGGCTGCCTTCGTAAGTATTCTTTGTATGTTTTTGTTTCTTGCAAAGGTCAGACTTTGTTTGGTATGTCATTCTATAAGAGGAGAGAAACCACATGCTAAAAATCTTAAAGAAACTCCGTCGGCTACCAACTTAAACGTGCATATAAACGAATGAAAATACAATTCGATGCATTTATTCATTTTTTCATATATAAAGACGCATTTGGGATGAATGCTAAACAACTTCATTTGCTTTTACAATACAAACAAGACAATTATGATTCCTAGCTTACGTTTCTTGTTTTCTGTCTGAAAATTAAAGTACACTTCTATTTAATCAACATAAATAAAACAAACTACAATCACACTTTCCCGTAGACTTACCTGTCAACTTTCTGATCTTAGTTCTTTTAAACAACATTTCTTAGAAAAACATGTACATAATATTAGACAGATAATAACACAACAATACTCACATATATACACAGTAAAAAGAAACTTCAGATATTGGAGGTCATCAAGGTCAAACAAAGCAACCCGCAGACAAAATTACATTTCAAACTAGTCACAGCACGTTATATTGCATCTAGACATATGGTCCTGTTGTTAATATTTCGTTCTCTCGCGTGGTACGATGTCATATAAACGCATCATGAATTTACGACCTGCATCTTTTATTCCGCGACCGTTATCGTCTCATAGCAATCTTCTATGCTAGCATAGCAGAATACAAACTTTCATGATGAATATCTTTGTTTAAGTGTCCATATAACCACTCTGAAGATGGATCACGTGAGCCGAAAGCTTAGATCAAAGAACAGCATAATAAAAAATATCCAGATGTTGGACAATATTTGTCTTTATTTTCTCCTGAAATTAAGGCAGATAGCCGAATATTAAAATGGCTCATGATCAAACATAATAGACATTCGTTGTCTGTTATATCTAACAATATATGTTTGAATAATATTCTGCCCCAATACACTAGATATATGTGTGTGTGTGTGCACGCGTATATATATATATATATATATATATATATATATATATATATATATATATATATATATATATATAACAATCATATAACAACATCAGCAACCTTTGTCAACAAGAAAAAATAGGACTAACATTTCCAGACAAAAAAAAATCTTTTAAATAAGAGATCGGAAATTATGACCCGTTGTATACACGCTAAAAACTTCCTTTTGAGTTCATATGAAGTGGGATGAAAAGAAACTATATTTCATTTAATCCCCCACTGATATGATAGTCATGCTAGTATTTGACTTCTTTACAAGCCAAACTGATGAAGAAAGCAAATACTATCATGATTTCTCTATCGTATACGAGCTGACCCATACCGTTGGTGAGCTTACAAAACCCGATATAGCAGTGTAACATGGAAACATTCTAGACCCCTTTCTCACCACTATTGACAAATTGTCGCATAAAGGTTGCTACCTGCGCAACATGAACATCAACTCTCATAATTCAGTGAGAAGAATACTCAATATGGCGTGAACGCAGAGTTTCTACCGAAGGCAGTCTGGACTAATACACTTAACCCATAGCATATCTATCTATCTATCTATCTATCTATCTATCTATCTATCTATCTATCTCAATTTGTTCATTATCTCTCTCTCTCTCTCTCTCTCTCTCTCTATATATATATATATATATATATATATATATATATATATATATATATTATTGGGCAGAAGATCATTATTCAAAGATTATATCATTATTTATATGTTTGAATGAAATATATATATATATATATATATATATATATATATATATATATATATATATATATATTATGAAATGGACTAAGTCCAACAATTATTTTAATATATATTATCGTTATCGTTATTTATATGGACACAAATATTTAAGTAAATACTCTGTTTATAATAAACAGTATTCAGGCCGGTAAATTTTGTTAATATTGTTTGTTATAAACAGAACATTTAATTAAGTATTTGTGTCTATATAAATAACGTATAACAATATATATATATATATATATATATATATGATGGTTGACGCCCCATCCTCTTGATAACCGTGCGTTTTTGTAGTCATTCCTAACTTGACCATCGAGGGCACTTCGATGTGGTGTAATGGTTAACCAGCTTTCCTTGCTAGATCAATTACGGCAGAACAGTGAATTCGTTCCTCACAGGGTGCCCCATACTTTCGGCTTTGTGTGGCATCTAAGCTGCGCTTAGAAAATCATCATAACTTGAGAAAAATTATATGGACTTTTAGCATCAGCCAATCTTGATTCAATGACAAATAATCAGTCACTATAATTGGTGACTGACTGCGCAGGTTACATATTATTAGTAAATTGTAATGAAAGAAATAAGAGGGCTCAGCTATCAACAGACGTTAATGCTTCTTAATTATATACAGTAATACTACCTATCGGCGGTTTAGACAATTTAGTGTACTAAGACTAATTTAAATTCTCCTAATAAGACCATGGTGAACCCTTTTTTGATACCTCGTATTATTTCTGAACAGAATGGTATTAGTTGGCCGTCCCCATCTGTTCACGTGGTTGACTACTGATTATATGTTAGGAGCAGCAAATGACCCTTAAACTGATTTATCCCTTTCTCAGAAAGATGTGCGAAAGTGAGTACAAACTACCTCAGTTGAGATTTGATCACTGTTCGCCAATTCCATTAATACTGGAAATAACTTTGATTATAACATGAATTATGTATACCAAGCAAAAAACAATTGGACGTTTTAAGAGTTACTGTACTCTCGAGTCTTTTTTTTTTTAAACTCGTACGAGATCATCGTAACTTTGAGAGCCTCGAGTTGGTTTTATTTGTATGGGAAACTTTGAGAACCCATTCTTTCAATAAGTGAGCACTTATCACAGTCTGGCTTACAGAGCGTCCTTGACAACGCTGCGCTAAGCGATATTTTTCATTCCATTGTGACTCACAGTTTTAATGTCGTTCGTCTTATAGTGCTAAACCTGGTTGCAAATGGATTGGGCATCGAAAATCATTTGAATGCCACTTTTAAATTTAAAGCTGTTCTCCTTCAATCTACTCAAATTTAAAATGCAAATTATATCACTCAGAAAAAAAAAAAAACGAATAATAATATAAACGTTCAATTGTCCTGGGTTTGATCATAAACTACATCCGGCAACAAGGCCTCTGATCGGGTGGTTTTGAGGAACTGAAACAACCACTTAATTGCTGTCCCTAGTCCACCCCGACGCAGGGTGATAATGGCTTTTAGGGTCCCAGATATGGGTAAATAGTGAACACCGAAATTGGGGTCAAAAGATGAAAACATAAAAATACACTAGAAAAAAATTACCAGTAGTATATTTTCATAGTAATAAAAAAAATGACCAGCTATACATTGGGGGGGGGGAGGTCAAATCTCAAAAGAAAATTAAATTTCGACATTAAATTCCCCATAAAGAGTTGATATAGCGTTAAAAAAATCAAATCAACCAACTAATGTTCAAATCTTAGGAGATCATGGCCCTCCACACTTTCCAGTTGCCTTCGTACAATGTTTGGAATTTAGAGTTTTCCATCTCCTAGACTGACTGCCCACGAGGCTATAAAACCTAGTTCACATTACTATTTAAAACGTACCTCACCTATAGTCCTGTTCATACTCCTCTCCAGTTTTTTTTTTTTCACAGAAGTAGAAGTTTATCCCTTGTTTCCTGTTGAGGTTTGGGTCTCCGGATCCTTCAGCTCTGTACTTCTGACGTCTCCGCGTGAACTCTGAAATTTTATATTGTATTTATTATTTTCTCCTCTGTCAATACGAGTAGATAGGCGTGTATATCAACCGGTTCACACTCTTCCACGGTCTTTTGAATTCGATTAGAAGTTTATCCCTTATTCTCTGTTTACGATTGGGTTTCAGGTTCCTTCTAAAGTCTAATCTATACTTCTAACTCTCCCGCCTGAACTCTGAAATTTTATTCACTAATAAAATCTTTTATTCACTAATAAAATCTTCACCTCTGCAAGTCTAGAATTAACTGTTATCTTTCTTGCATAGCTCCAAGAACTTCACTTCTTGCCTTTTCTTACGCTCATGCGATAGCACAGAGTAAGCCTCTGCCTTGAATGGCTCTCGGGCTTTGTATTGGTAAACATTAGTAAATAAAATTAAAAAAACTGCGAGAAGAGATAGATTCATGCCTTTTCAAAGAGCGTTAGTGTGAAAGTGAATGCACTAGTCTAGGCCAGAATTTGAACCTGGTTTACCGAATCTACTTACCGCGCCGGTAACTTTTGTAATACCTGCGCATATACTAATATGTTTGCATTAATAGTAGTTCATAGTCCTTATATGTTATTAGCAACTGTTTATAAAACTCATGGTAGAAAGAGTTCGATTTATTAAATGTTGGTAACGACATCCCCCCCCCATGATTACAGAAAGAGCGTCATCTGTCGGAGGAAAAAGGAAAAAAAATGAAAGTTGCATTTTACTGCAACCACGTTAGAATCTTTTTTCATTTAATAAAATTTTCAGCTTATCGCTACATACTTTAATGTGCGGGTGATGCAATCGTTGAACCGAGTTCGAATTCTAGTCGAATTCGTTATATTCCCTTTCACGCATATACTCTTGAAAAAGTTATAAATCCCCCCCTAGCTATACGTTAAATAGTAAAACAGACTGGGCTCTTTAGACTTGATTGAGAGACGATGGATCTCGTTAGCAGGAGAACATTTGTTAATCTAAGGGAAGGAAAACCCCGACAGATAACCGACCTTTCTTCACTGTACAGAGATTGGGCGTAGGGTCAATCAGCACACCCTATGGAACAATTCGATTACAGAATTCCAGAGGCCTTACGTGCCATGAAGCATCAGATAGATATTTTTGATGATTGCATTGCACATTTGGCCGTTAATAAAATGATTGCAACATGTGATCACCAGTGGTAGGATGTCGATAATACAGTTCAGTTCGCATTAGTTATATTTGAGAGACGTCGCTTTATTCGGAATTATAATTCAGAATTAAGATAAAGGATTAAAATGCCTTTTGTACTTATCTAAGTAAAACAAAACCATATCGCATTTCGCCTGACCACCTTCGACTGCACAGGAAGAAAAGGAAAGAGACCATGGATACTCCTTATTGGTCACTTTATATATTCATTTCATCGGCAAAGCAATGTACTAGTCACGTGTACTTAAATCATGTGACTAGATTACGTGTATTGTCATCATCCATTTATATATCTTTAACACAGCTCGAAATGAAAAAAATATAACCTATTTATTGGTCATAAATTACATGTCAACAAACTACTTATCAATAAATAAAACTAATCTTACTAACCAACACTACAGTAAAAATAAAATCGTATTCCAATTGTTCTTGTAAAAAATGCAAAAATACTATACAGCATTAACTGCAAAAAAATGATTACAAATATTAGAAGCAATAATTATAAAAGGCAAACAACTTACAATAAACAAAACTTATTTCACTATAAGAAACAGTATTTTAAATATATTTTATTATAAAAAAAGAAGGAAAGCGTAATTTAAATATTTTAACAAGCAACCTGGTCAAATTATTCAAACACTTGAACCTTCGACGGTGACGCATACTGCGATAAAGTTCAGTGTGGCGAAAAAAGCCAATGTAAGCTGTTGGAGACGGACACATGATTTCAAGGAGACGGACACACGATTCTTTTGTTTAATTAGAGCTGCTCGAGATAATGGACCATCGAGAGGCGACATGTTCATTTCGGAGAATTACTGTGCATTTTGGGCCCGGTGGTTTTTCGATTTTAGCAAGAGTGGTCAAATAAAGACTACTAAATTTATAGAGCAGGTTCTGGATGGCGACGTTGTAAAAACGCTCGACAATAGAGACGCATTGTTAATGATAGACAGCTACTCGTCCAAGCACAGAGTAAATCAAATGTAACCCCAGGAAACTTGCAAGTTCTGTTTTAGAGATTATTGGCAGCTCTGCAAGAGTGTGCTGAACAACAGCAAGTCCTCAATCCCTGCTCTATTTAATCAATTCGAAGTCGTCGCATGTACAGCAGATAAGGTTGAATGATTTACATTATTTACATTATTCGGACTATTGTCCTCATCTTTATCGCCATATTTATTAAAACGTTTCGACCGTTGTAAACTCCGACCTTCTTCAGGTGGTTGTAATGTCGAGCTGAACCCTTTATTTCGCTCACTGGGGTAGATTGTTCTAATTCCACGTGCCATGTTTAATGGATGTCAGTTATCAGTTCAAGAGATAACTGATAACTGACATCTATTAAACATGGCACGTGGAACTAGAACAGTCTACACCGGTGAGCAAAATGAAGGGTTCAGTTCGACATTCCAACCACCGGAAGTGTCCTCAAGGCCACATTGCATAGTGGATAAAGGCCTTGGTTAAATCTAGTGACAGGGCCCAAAGAATGTGAGTTCAATACCCGGTTAAGCTAGTGGAGAACTTGCAGAGGGAAAATTAGCAGGAGATAACTGATAACTGACATCCATTAAACATGGCACGTGGAACTAGAACAGTCTACCCCAGTGAGCAAAATAAAGGGTTCATTTCGACATTTCGACATTCCAACCACCTGAAGAAGGCCGGAGCGTACAACGGCCGAAATGTTGTGATAAATATGGCGACAAAGATAAGGACAATAGTCTGAATAATTTAAATAATGTAAATGATACCTCATCTCAGAAATATAGACAGATACTGTTGAATGATTTGCTCGGAAATTCTCTTCCAACTCAACAATCGACTCATTTGGAGTACTCACATCTGATTTCCTCCCTAGAACAGAGGCTTTAATTAGTGATACGCGTATAACCCTCGGCCTCGGAAATTATTTCTAAATTAGACTCCCATAAGGCAAGAGGAGGTGACAGGATCCCAGCCATCGACCTAAAGAAATGTGCTCCTGAGTTGGCTCCAGTTCTCTCCAAACTTGACAACTATTGCCTCGTTACTTTCCGATTTCTTGCTTGTTGGAAGTTCTGTGTAGTTCCTGTTTTTTCAGAAATCTAGAGAACCTTCTGACCCATTTAACCATCGCTCTATTAGTCTCCTACTACTTTTTGGCAAAGTATTCTGATTGCAACAGACGCCTCTTTGTCTCTGCTCGAAACGAGTGCAAGCCTGTCCTCAAAGAAGCGGAGTTACTGTTTGCTGATAGAAAGAAACAACGTATAGCAACTTCGGTTCTAGAGATTATTAGCGACTCTGCAAGAGTGTGCTGAAAAACAGTAAGTCCTTAATCTCTTCTCTATTCAGTCAGTTTGAAGTCTTGACATCCATAGCAAATAAGGTTGAATACTTTGCTCGGAAATTCTCTTCCAACTCTCTTCAAAAACTCCATTCATTTGGATTACTCACATCTGATTTCCTCCCAAGAAGAGAGGCTCTACTGAGTGATATGTACATAATCTCGTCACTGGTCTCGGATATTATTTCTAAATTAGACTCCCATAAGGCAAGCGGAGGTGACGGGATCCTGGCCGTCGCCCTAAAGAAATGTGATCCCGAGCTGGCTCTAGTTTTCTCCAAGCTCTACATCTATTGCCTCACTGCTTCTTGCTTTCCTGCTCCTTGGAAGTTAAATGGTTAAAAAACATCAAAAAACAAAACAAAAACAAAAACAAAAAAACAAAAACAACGATTGGTAATTATTTAATTGCATCAGGCCTACAGGATAACAAACTTCTCGCCAAACTTTAATTTACTCCACAGCAGGTTTCCGCTGGAGTCGAGGTAAGTTCATTTGGGTGAGGATCGGAAGGCACACTGTAGTATTTAATGATGAGGACAGGTTCTAACATCTTGTGTGTACGGCGTAGACATGCCGACTGATATACACATCAACACAACCGCTGGCATCATAGGGTCGAGTGACATGTTACCACGCCCGGATGCCTTTGGTGCTTCCAGAGGAAATTCTAAAGATATGAAATGAAGTGTTTTATATAAATATAATTCCGAATCAGAATAGCAAAAGATGTCTCCAGAGAGTTTGGAAAATATGATAGATAATTTCATGCGAAACAAACAAAAGAGTACTGTGTCATATCTATCCTTCTTTATGGCAGCAAATGCTGGACAATTCCTCAGCGGTGAAGAGAAGACTTGAGGCAACAGACATGTAGTTCTACAGAAGGCTGCTGATGATACCATGGACAGAACATGCGTAAAACGATGACATTCTAAAGAAAATGGCAACTAGAATGACACGCATAGTTAGAATCAGAAAGAGACAGTTTTTGAGGTTTTCGTTCTACAGAAGGCTGCTGAGAATACCATGGACTGAACATGCGAGCAACGATGGAGTTCTAAAGAAAAATGAAAAAGTAGAAAGACACTGGCACTTAAAATCAGAAACAGAAGTTTTTGAGGATTTGATTCTACAGATGGATGCTGGGTATACCATCGGCTGAAACACGTGAGCAATGAGGACGTTTTACGTAAAAAGGAACCAGTACTCTTGTACTTAAAATCAGTAACAAACAGTTGAAACTTCTGGGAAGCATAATGAAGAAAGTGTTTGGAGACGGCAAGATGGGCAGAAGAAACAACGAGTAAGATACCAAATACGCTTAGAGCTGCAAAGGATAGGTAGTTGTGGAGAGCCATGATCGCAATACCCTGAAGGAACACGGCACATCAAAGAAGGAAGTGCTGTCAAACCAAAGGGATTTACCATAGGTACTCAGTACGCATAACTTTATGTATATATAAGTGTGATCTCGCTTGCATGCGTGTTTTTCATAAACATACGGCCATGTGAGTGAACTAAAATGTTCCCCTTCTACTTAAAAAGTAAGTCGGTTTAGTTTTAATGTAAGAAAGTATATTTTCTAAATTTTTTTTTTCAAGTTTTCGTTCCTGAGTCATCCATTCTGCACGTGACAGAGAATGTGAAACGGGCCCAACAGTCACTTACAGCAGTAGCAGCTGTGTCATCTGCTATGTCTCTGCCTTCTGGCCCTTCATAGATTTTTCTCCACTCTCTCACTATATTGTTCCTTTCTACCTTACTCTCATTTACTTTAGACATTTTAGAGTCCCCACTTTTCTTCTTCTTCTTCTTCTTCTTCTTCTTCTTCTTCTTCTTCTTCTTCTTCTTTCTATTTTTGAAGTCACCTTCTTTTTTTTTTTGCATTTTAAATTTATTTCCCCACCCCATAATTTCTTCTTCCACACAATTCTTTTTCTCGTTTTCCATTCCAATATACCATTTGTTGTTGTTGCTGCTGTTCCTGTTCATCATCATCATCATCATCATCATCATCATCCATGCAAATAATTATCTTTTCTCGTTGTCACATACATTTTCTTTCTTTCTTTCTTTCTTTCTTTCTTTCTTTCTTTCTTTCTTTCTTTCTTTCTTTCTTTCTTTTCTCTTCTCTGTCCATATTCTTTGCATTGCTAATCAATCTTCCATTCGCCCGCGTCGTTCTCGATAACTTTCTTTTTCCTTTTCTTTTTCCTTATCTTTCTTCATTTTCTTTTTTGTTTTTTCTTTGTAGATCTTCATATATTTTTTTTCTTCAGCTTTTTTTCATATTACTTCATCTACTCATTATTATTCTACTTCCTCTTCTTTTCCCATTTTTCATTATCTATTTTATATCATCATCATCATCATCATCATCATCATCATCATCATCATCATCATCATCACCGTCATCATCATCATCATCATCATCACCTTTTTTCTTCTTGTAATCTTTTTTCTCTTTCTAATAATCAGCATTATCCTCTTTTTCTTCTTCTTCACCATTATCTTTTTTCTTGTCTTTCGTTATCATCTTCCACACACACCAGTTTTTATTTTTATTATTTCCCAATAATCTTCACACATTTATTTTTTTTCAATTCTTTCATCACCAGCATTTCTTTCTTTCTTTCTTTCTTTCTTTCTTTCTTTCTTTCTTTCTTTCTTTCTTCCTTCCTTTCTTTCTTTCTTTCTTTCTTTCTTTCTTTATTTTTTTCTTCCTTCCTTCCTTTCTTTCTTTCTTTCTTTCTTTCTTTCTTTCTTTCTTTCTTTCTTTATTTCTTCCTTTCTTTCTTTCTTTCTTTCTTTCTTTCTTTCTTTCTTTCTTTCTTATCCTTAGACGTTTCTTTCATTCTTATCATCTTTAGATATTTCTTCTTCTTTCTTTCTTTCTTTCTTTCTTTCTTTCTTTCTTTCTTATCCTTAGACGTTTCTTTCATTCTTATCATCTTTAGATATTTCTTCTTCTTCTTCCTTTCTTTCTTTCTTTCTTTCTTTCTTTCTTTCTTTCTTTCTTTCTTTCTTTCTTTCTTTCTTTCTTTCTTATCCTTAGACGTTTCTTTCATTCTTATCATCTTTAGATATTTCTTCTTCTTCTTCCTTCCTTTCTTTCTTTCTTTCTTTCTTTCTTTCTTTCTTTCTTTCTTTCTTTCTTTCTTTCTTTCTTATCCTTAGACGTTTCTTTCATTCTTATCATCTTTAGACATTTCTTCTTCTTCTTTCTTTTTTCTTTCTTTCTTTTGTTCATCAGTTTCCTTTTAATATCTTCTCGTTTACTGTTATTTATCTCTCACCCAATTCCTCTAATCCTTCAGATTCTAACATTTCTCGCTATTTTCTCATTCTTTCAGACTTTCATTTCTTGTACACTCGTGTCAAAAACATTCACCCTAGCGGCATTTCCTGGAATCATTCTTTCCCTAATTTGTTTTGATAGCCTTCTTTTTTTCTCATTCAAGTAGCCTCGCTAAAATTAGAACGCCAACCTGCCCGTAAATAAAAAGACTCGGCACACGAGCCATTGGCTTTTGCATCGTTTCGGTTTAAATTTTGGCGGCATCCACCTTTGTAGAATTTCTTCGAGTTAGGGGTGGGGTACAATGTCAAACCAATCACATTTTTCTGTGGGAGACACACATTCAACAATATAAATACTTAGTTTAACTTAGTTCTGTAAAAGGGTAAATCAGTATGCCAAAATCCTTGCTTTTCTCTGGCTTCGAAAGTTAATTAATAAAGGTATTAAAGAAAAGCATAGCTACCACCAAACTTAATTAAAAGAAAAGCTTGTAGCTCCAACGAATGATTTATTTCATGGAAATATTTCGACTAGCTATTGCTAGTCTTAATCACTCCTTTAATTTGATTAAAACAGTGTAAAGAAACTAGAAACGCTTAAGAATTCAAATCAAGGAAAAAAAAACGATTTGATGATGTTTACACAGTAGGAGCATACACTTTTTTTTAGCGAGGTTCATGCCTTATTCGTATCAAAGTTAGGATGCTTGTCTCCGTTGGTAGTTACATAATCAAAAGAAATATTTCCATGAAATAAATCATTCGTTGGAACTACGAATTTTTCTTTTAATTATGCAACTACTAAGACAAGCATCCTAACTTTGATACCACCAAACTTGATTGGATTAGTTTTTTACGGCTTATCAACCCTTTTTAAAAGCCGGAAAATCTTTTTAAATCGTAACAATGTTTCTGAGATAATAATGATACAAGTCATACTAATTAACCCATAGATAGTAGGGATAAGTGGGTTCATACTTTTCCCAAGGATATTTGAGTGTAAACGAATATAATAAACCTTACTTGAATTGGAACTTTCTAATTCCGAGCCGTTATCCTTTACACCACCCGCATATCACAGCTTACAGCGCCTGGTATTCCCAGTCGGTTATCCATTTCGGTACTGACCAGGGTCGATGTTGCTTAACTTCGGTGATCGTACGAGAACGCCACCAAACAGGTTGAATATAAAAATATAGATGAAATTTAATCAGAAATGATTAAACTGAAAAATTCGATATTAAGTAGGATTTTGTATATGAAATGATTTCGTTTTACCCACTTTCTGGATGTTTTTGATGACATGTCCTTTCAGGATGTTGACGATCATGGCTCTCCACAGATTTATTTTAATACTAGCTTAAATGCCGCACTATAGGCCAGAAATAAAACTAGCTCCTGCAGAGAGCTCTTGATAGGTCGGACAGAATAGATAGGCAACAATAAACTACAGAATAACTCAATATTGATCGCTGCATTTAAGTATTACATTAATATCTAAGCTTATCTTTTAAAACTTCAACGATAATTCTTCTGCTGCCACTTAATTTACCGTTATGTTTAATTTTATGTCCGTAGGTCCTTTCCGTAAAAAAAAACAATTATTTTTATTTGAGGGTTGACTTTCACTGGATTTCGCAATTCAATTATTTCCAAATTTATTTCCAAATTATAAAAATTGTTATCATACAAAAAAAAAAAAATTCTTCGCAAAAAAATCACGTAAAAAAATCGCCGAAAACAATTGCAGTAATGAAAACTTGAGAATCCCAAATTTCAGGATTGTGGATCAGGCTAGGAATGTTTTTAATTTTCTCACGGAGTCGGCCTGATTCCAAAATGGTAAGATATGTTAGGCTACACTTCTAGGAGTAAAGTTGAAAAAGTGTGACACACTGATATACTGACATTCGCATTTATTATATAGATTTGAACTGTCATTCATTCTTTGGGAATATAGTGGAGTCGTTTCAAATTTCCATTCTAAGGGTTTGTAATTAGTTTTTTCTTCTCTTAGACTCGTGTCCACTCAAGGCTAGAGAGCCAATCTACCCTGCTACTTAATCCATAGCTACTGAATAAAAAAACTTCCTAACTTTCCCAAAGGTATTAGTGCGAAAGTGACTAGCTCGGAGTTTGAACTTTCTACTCTCTACTCTCTACTTTCAACATCAATATTCGTTTCATTGCCAGTACGAAAAGATATTATCAGAGAACACGCTAAAGTGCTATTCTTTAATTAACCTTTGACCCAGAGCATTCTTTAACCCGTTCGCAGAAACAATATTTCTGTTCTTAGATGCCTTAACCTGTGTTCAGTAAATATTAATGGAATGATCACAATACAATTGCTAACTTGTAGTCTATCATAAAAGGTGTACATATGAGAATAGAAAACAAGTTGAATCTGAGATCTCCGGGGAGCAATTACAATTACACACAATATTAAAGTCAAAATATGAGTAAAATTAACAAAATCAGGGGTTGAAAGATAGAAGGAGTTAACAGAAAATCAACCAGCCGATATTGATGTGGAAAATAATAATACAAGGATTTATTCAGGTGTATAAGATAATGTTTTAATCAAATATATTTTTGTTACGTATGTTATTTGTAGGCACGGTGGAGTACTGGATAGCGGCTCGGATTAAGGAATCGGAGAGCCGATTTCGAATTCCAGTTTAATCTATTACATTCATTCACTTACGTGCTTATACACTTGATTCCTTTTCTTCTCTCTAAACCAACTATGGGTAAATATCAGGACAGACCAGAATAGCAATTGATCTACCTCAGAAAGAAATGGCAACCCACTGCGGGAAAAAAACTGTCTCGTCAGTCATGTATCGAAAAATACATGATCGCTTAAGCGTGTATCACGCATGGTACATAATTGACTGATATTATTTGGATTTATTTAAGTTGCCCTACGTTTGCTTGTATAACAAAACTTTACCTCAAAGAAGTTGTCTTTTAATATAGATCTTATAAAATGCAGCTCACCTAATCTTTGCTCATATAAATATATAGCTGAAAATTTTATCAGTATCGATTGTTTAATATCAATTTTATTGTGGGGTCTAATAAAATCTAACTTTAAAAAAATATTCAATAAATACAAGACCCAAAAGCCAATCGCAGCAGAGGTTTATTGACCGAGTTTGTCATATGTATGCAAGAAGAGATTGTAAGAAAGTTCAGATTGCAAAGATACCTAAGAAAGATCACGGATTGACCCTAGACTTGAAGAGGTTATGGTTTCCGCGGTCGGATAGAGGATCCTCTTGGGATTCACTTCCACAAAGTGTTGTAGCATACCTACGGACGATAATGGGTATATTCCCATTCACATACATACAGTAGTAAATACTGTATGTTGATATGCAGCTGGAGATTCATCTCCAGCTGTGCTGGTCAAACTGTGTCCGGGCAGAGAGGATCCCCAGACGAAGCTATGTCGAAAGACAGAGTTTTGTCTCGGGAAACAGCTACCCGACTCCGTTTTATACGTGGTCTACGGGGAATTTTTAGCGGAGGCCCACATTAAATTCGGCCTTGTGCCTCATCTGACCGCGTGGGGCGGTTGGTAGATATCCTGCAGTTGGAGATTTATTGTGGAATGCACTTGACTCACTTCTAGCAATTGACTACTTCTACGCGCTGCTGGCGAATCTTATATGTCTTGTTCTTGTCTTAAGTATTATCGTTCATAACCAACCTTCGTGTGATTATTCTATTCAGTAACCTTCTCTAGGTTACAACACAAAGTATGGTTTCTTAGGAAGAAGATGTCCGAATGGAAATTTCTTCTTACCAATGGAATAAGAAGGGAATTGGAATGATTTCTCCCAGTGTATGTCGCATGGCTGGCCTTAGCTGTAAAAGTTTGAACTTTCAGAACTAAAGAATGTCATCTCATCATCTTGCGGCCTCATTGAACTCACTACACCTTTCCAGTATTCCTTATCTGTCATAGCTAATACTTTGATTGGTGTAGTTCATAATCTTGTCAAATAGCTGAATTCTTGATGCTTCGCTAGGGCTATCAAGGGTGTTTTTATCGTGACACCATCACTAAATGGATTGCCAACCAAGACTCAGAGAGACTCCATGCACCCTCCGCAGGTTTGAATTCAGAGTTTTCCTTCTCCTAGACCAGTTGCCATCCAAGGCTATAGAACCCAGTCTGTCCTGCTATTTACCCATAGCTGGAGGGAGAAGAAGATTCACACCTTTCTCAAGGGTATTAGCACGTAAGTGAAAGTAATGGATTCGACTGGAATTCGAACTCGGCTCTCCGATTCCTCAATCCAAGCCACTATCCATTATTCCACCGTGCCTCCAAACTAAAGAATGTACCTCACCTGAATATTCGCTATGGAAATAGAAATAAGCTTATGACGTTTTTTTTCTGCGGGAAATGTGTTATGGGGCTGAAAATAATTCATCACCCAAATGGCTGCGTAAACGCTTTTGAATTCTGTCATGGATAGTAAGGATTGGGCAGTTGGGTCGTTGCAGTCCATATATGGCGGTGATGCTCTTTTTTTTTTTTTAAGCCTGATCTGACATTTGTAAAAATAGAGAATATTAGAAGAAATCAAGGACTTATTGGTGCCGTACAAGGCGCCGACCATTTAACCAGCATATTTAGCAAGGGAACATATATATATGAGTTCCAGTTGAGGCCTGGAGTGAACTTGATTCCCAATAGACCAGTATTTCTTAACCGTTTTACTTCAGGGCGCGATCATAGAATAAGTAAACTCTGAGGTGCACTTTAGAGTTTAATAACGAAAAATCGGTCATTAAATTTGAAAATAGGAAAATAATAAAGATGTCTCCTCTAACAAACATTTATATTTAAGTATGCATGTGCGAAACCTGTGCTTTGGCAATTATTGAAAGGTCTTACTATATTCTCATTTCTTCATCAGTCAGTTATGTGCCATGCGTGATACACGCCTAGGCGATCATGTATCTTTCGATACATGACTAACGAAGCAGATTTTTTCTGCAGTAGGTTTCCATTTCTTTCTGCGATAGACCAATTGCCATCCGAGGCTACAGAACCCAGTCTGTCCTGCTAATTATACTTCCATTATACGAAGCAAATATACGACGGATCAAGACATATCAGCCAGTCAGTTATGTGCCATGCGTGATACACACTTAGGCGATCATGTATCTTTCGATACATGACTGATGTGGAAGATTTTTCCCCGCAGTAGGTTGCCATTACTTTCTGCGGTAGACCCGTTGCCATCGAAGGCTATAGAACCCAGTCTGTCCTGCTATCTAACCATAGCTGGGGAGAGAAGAAGAGGATTTATATCTTTCCCAAGGGTATTAGCACGTAATTCGAACTCAGCTCTCCAATTCCTCAATCCGAGCCACTATTCATTACTCCACCGTGCCTCTTCATCAATACATTCAATATTTGATCTGTTTTTGTATTTAATGTTGGTAAGTGCAGAAAATAGTCATTTACAGGTATGATATGAAAAAAAAATGCAATAAAATATTCATTGCTTTACTAGCTCTTGAAGGATGTTCTTCTTTAATGGAGACCCCAAACTGATCACTAGATGTCTCTTTATACTCGATATGTAAGCCATGATCAGCAGATATAGGGAACAGTTGCTCTTCCGTTAACGATAAACCAATGTCTTCAGTTGAAACATCAAATGACTTAGACTTGGAAACCATATGTTTGGTGGGTTTTTTTTGTTTTTTTTAAATAAAGAGTTTTTTCAATATAAAATAATTCATAAATTACTCTTCTGTTAGCTTGGTGCGTATCTAGTTACCTTTCAGGGTGCATCTGGCTACCTTTCAGGGCGTATCTGGCTACCTTTCAGGGCGCATTAGTCCAAATCAAGGACCCCCATTGAGAGTAAAACCTTTCGTCATAACAGGCGAAAAACCAGGGTCTTCTCGTTGATGGTGGAAGGTTTCTAGTTTTGTTTATTAGGTTTTGAATGCTGAAAGCCATTTTTCCCCTTTGAGCTAGGCCAGAGAAGCAATAATCTGCCAGGCTATGGTCATATAGATTTTTGTAGAGCCATCTGTACGCTGTTGTGCCACCTGCAACTGTCTCCTATCCGCAAAAAGAAAAAAAAAGAATTGCGTCTTCCACTAGAGTTTAACATTTTATTAGTTTTTATGATACAGTTTCACGTAACTCTGAGTAACACAAATTAGTTTTGCATTAAGTAAAAACAACGTTTGTCTAGCAATATGTTAAAGGATTTACTTACTGAATTAGTCGGATAGAAAAACAAAATTACTTCATACTAATCACAAGAAAAAAAAGTGTTGTACTAATTTCGAGGTTCACACGTTACAGATTATTTCAATTGTAGGTTTAACACATGTTTTAAATCGCAATCTGGCGACTGAATGTAGTGTGTTGTTTGCTACTTGTACTAAATAAAAGAATCGTCTGGTATAGTCATCCTGATGCGATTTTCTTAATGTAAACGGAGATTTTTTTTTTAATTTCAGTAACAGAATAATCGTGCCGCAGAGAAAATTATTATTGTTGAGTCCTAAGTAATGTCTGTTTTTGTGAACCAATTGTAATGTCGAATGTTTCATCCTAGTAATCATATATGACAAGAATAAATGTCTAATATGTGACATTGCAATGGCAGCGTACAAAGTGGATTAAATGAAAAACATTCGCTACCATGACAAACCAAGAACTAATGACACAAATAAAAAATCCCTGTAGCCTGTCAACTCAGTAGTAATAATAAAAATAAAACATCAGATAATTTATTTTCAATCATTTATACACGTTACTACAAAAACTTGACAAACCAAGATTTAACAAAGCAATTTAGAGTTAATACATTTTTGACATTCCATTTTTTGTAGCATGTCAACTCAGTACTAATGAAGGATTGCTGCCGAAACAAACACACATACAAGTAGAAAAAAAACAGAGTAATATGTAACTTTTCATTTGTTCGAAACCCTGAAAATGAAATCGTCAACTGAATATCTCGATGTACATATGGTGTAACGGGTACCATGAGAGAAAGTATAATTGGCGAACCGAGTTCAAATCCAGACCTAACATGTCGCGTTCACTTTTGGCAAGAAAGAAATCTCTGAATTCGAACCGTGGAAAAATCCACTATCTTTCCGAAAAGTCATGGCAATTAACAGAAAATAAATAAGAGGAAAGCTTTTGTTCCCCCCCCCCCAAGAACTGTTGCTTTGTGGAACTGACTCCTGACAGTATGCTTTCCTAATCGCTACAATCTTAACCTCATCAACTCTTGGGTTAACCGTTATCTTTCGCGCATAACGCCATGAATTTCACTTCTTATTTTTCTTACGCTCATACAGCACCACGCAGTAATCCTCTACTTTGAATGGCTCTTGAGTCTTGTATGGTGTGAATATTAATATAAAAAAGCTGTGGAGAGTCATTATGGGAAATGACATTTTACAAATATACATATATATATAAAACTGCGGGTCTGTGTATATATCTATGCTGTGTTGTGTGTGTATGTGTGTGTATGCAAATATTATATAAAACCGATATCAAATAAATGCGGTTTTAACGTTAATAACGTCCAGCAAGTGTCTTATATCTGACCCAACTTTTTCAATGGCGACATTGGAATAATTTCCGAATTCAACTTTAAAATCAAATTAAAAAATATTTTTGTTATTAATTTCTAGTTTGGTCTTTTGTGATCTTGATTAATAATCGATTGTATTGTTATTATTTATTAAACTCATTCTTACTTGTCCTCATCTTTATTGCCATATTCACGACGTTTCGGCCGTTGTACGCTCCGGTCTTCTTTAGGTGATATATGTTGGAATTTCGAACCAAACCTTTTATTTAATCCACGCGAGAAGATTGTTCTAGTTCCACGTGCCATGCCTTTTCTGGATATCTCAGTTTCAGTTAGGTCACTTTAGTAACTCAACTCTCCAAGTTTTTGTTCAACTATGTTGTCGCCAGGTATTGAACTCACAACTCTTTGGGGCAAGTCACTTTTGGATTATGTCAACTAACGCTTTTATCGACTGGGCTAATCTAACCCCGTGGAATAAATAAAGTGTTCGGTTGGAAATTCCAGCGTATATCACCCAAAGAAGTCCGAAGTGTACAACGGCCGAAACGTCGTGAATATGGTAACAAAGATGAGAACAACAGGACGAACAATGTAAATAGTGTAAATAATACATGACCTCATTTGAGAAATATAGACTGTGAATATGGCAATGAATATGAGGACAACAGTCCAAACAATGTAAATAGTATAAATAGTTACAATACCTCATCTCAGAAATATAGACTGTGAATATGGCAATAAAGATGAGGACAACAGTCCGAACAATGTAAATAGTGTAAATAGTTAAAGACCTCATCTCAAAATATAGACTTAATATGGAATAAAGATGAGGACAACAGTCCGAACAATCCTCATCTCAGAAATATAGACTGTGAATATGGCAATAAAGATGAGGACAACAGTCCGAACAATGTAAATAGTGTAAATAGTTAAAGACCTCATCTCAGAAATATAGACTGTGAATATGGCAATAAAGATGAGGACAACAGTCCGAACAATGTAAATAGTGTAAATAGTTAAAGACCTCATCTCAGAAATATAGACTGTAAATATGGCAATAAAGATGAGGACAACAGTCCGAACAATGTAAATAGTGTAAATAGTTAAAGACCTCATCACAGAAATGTATATTGATGTGAAATTTAGTTATTCAAATAACTCAATTTTATGTCGTAAAAGTGGTAAGTACCTTAGCAATTGGAACACAACTAGGTAATAAAGGGTGTATGCAAGTTACAAACGAAAGTAAATAATGCTGACATTTTTACTATATCTTGACAATCTAAAAAGTATTATAAATTATGAAAATGTCTTTAATAGGGGACTACCGAAATATTTAAAACTACCGAATCTTTTTTGATTACGATAATTTCATTCACATCAGTTTACAGCAGATGCACATTTGAAAAAAAAAAAAAAAAAAAAGAATAAGCAAGAAAAAACGACCTAATCCGAGTATAGGATAGGCACCAAATGACCTTCCAACTCTCAAATTTGAGACATGAATCGTTGTAAACGTGGTAAGCATATCAATAGCGTAAGTAATATTAATTTTTGTTTATATAATTGTTTTCTAATCTTTGCAGCGTGTCCGTCAGGGACGTACAAAAATAGCAGTCGGCCCGGGGATATCAAAAGCTGTACGCCTTGCCCGGATGAAAATCACATGAATGAAGTGGGAGCGATTTCTGTGGAGCAATGTCAGTGCAAAAAAGGTTTTCGAAAGCTTGGTGAAAACCGTTGCGCCTGTGAGTATAGCTTTTATTATTTTGTTTATAGAAAATGTAATGACTTCGTCATTATTTTATTATAGAAATATAATGGTTTGGTCATTATTTTATTATAGAAATGTAATGGCTTAGCGGTGTAGATCAAGATGATGACAGTTGAATGTGCGCGTACACGACGACGGAATGTGCACCTTACATTCTCGTCTGCGATGTCTGAGAGACTGACACACGCCTCTGTGCGGCAATTGTTTCTATATCTCCTATAAAGCAATTCTTTATCAGACTCAGCCAACGTACAGCTGGGTGGTTAACTCAGGACAACCCTGAATCTGGTTTCTATCACGTCGCACCTAGAGCAATGTTCTGACATAATTTGGGGTTAAACATGTATGCATGCATTTTTAAAAGGATTTTTGTACCCAACGCTATTTCTTATTTTTTAGTGGGTTATTATTATTATTATTATTAATTGTTATTATTGTTATTTTTATGTCCGTTGTTATTAATTTCATTGGTTAAGAAAGAAAGAAAGAAAGGGGGATAACCACTCAGACATGGCTACCCACTAAAAATAACGTTTATAATAATAAGTATAATGTTGAATAAAAAATCCTTTCAAAAATGACTGTAGATTACGTTTCGTTTTAGATTTAGTTTCGTACAAGTCTCAGGGAGAAGTGCGTTTTCCTTAAATAGGTAATTCAAATCTTGCCCTGTCAGTTAGGTCTCCATGGTCAGACAGGTAGTGTCATGCTTTGGCTAAAATAGTGGTTTCCTCCAATGAAAAAAAGGGAGGGAGGTTCGATTTCTGTTGGAGGTACAATTCTTTTGTTTTACGGCATATCAACCTCAATGGGTTATTTAATGCCGACAAGATTTTTATTTCTCGTAATATTTTTTTTTTCAAAAAATGTATTGCTGGTAATATTTTTAGGACGCGGACGTAGTTTATCGTCTTACCCAGGACGGTTTTTGTTTAGTAGGAATTCTCAATCTGAACAGTTTGTTATTAATTTCACTGAAAAAAAAAAAGAACAAAAATAAAAGACAAAAAACAAAAACAAAAAAAACAGGGACAGCAACTGAGCAGTACCCACTAAAATTAACGTTTAGAGTAATAAAAAATACATGCATCCCATAATCCTCTGCCGGTTTTGGCTTTCCTTATCGTTGCCCACGGACACCTCCGTTACTCCAGCACTCTTCGCCGTTAATAATTTTCTACAGTAACGAATATATCAGAAAGGAAAACTAATTCCTTTTCAACCTGTTTGTTGGTCGTACGCCTTCCCCGGATCTCGCCATCTTTGCTACTCATGTACTAACCTTGACCATCGAGATAGGCGATTCGGTTAAGCATTGGTTTACATCCAGTGACACAACAGGAAAGGCCGATGTTAGATGATGGTATCATAACATGGGAAGGAATGGGCCATTACCCTATCGCGCTGGTCTAATGCTTGATGGTAGGGCTAGATATGACAGTTTGTCCTGCTATACAACCCAAAACAGGGCGAAGAGATGGATTCATACCTTTTCCAAAATAAATGTAATGAATTCGACTGGAATTTGAACTCTGCTCTCCGATTTCTCATTCCGAGCTGTTATCCATTTACGCCACCCGCACATCCATGCTTACGGCACCTGGTATTCCAAAGCGAGCACTCATCTAGGTACAATGTTGATTAACTTTGGTGATCAGAATAGAACCGGTGTTTCAACGTGATATGTCCGAAAACCAGAAATAGAAATAATGTTGATTATTTACTGAATATTCAAATTTCGGTACATCAACAAAATATAATACTCGCCAGCAGCGTGAAGTAGGCAAACCACTGCTAGTAATGGACTACTTAGACAGCATATTACTCCCACTTACAATAGTACCCAACGTATTTATTGTTACAAATTCATGACGGTCGTCTTCGAGTATAGAATCCAGAGGTCAGCAGTGAATATTTCGGAGACAGTAGGAAAGCGTAGTTCAGGTTCGCAGTGGATATCGTAGCAGAGCGTAGTACTTCCTTCTGTCATCTTCGCCTGACCAGTTGGCACTGGTCATTCGGATAGGGTAAACAAAAATGTCCGCCTTTATACACGACTGATACAATGTTCTGCTGCTTCTGATTGGTTAACCTTCTATTGGTGGACTATAAAGGGAGTTAAGTCATTTTGACTCGCTCACTAGTTATATACACAAAAAACTGTAACATTTATGAGGATTAGGGCATATCCATTGGTGTTCATAGGTACGGTATATAACAAGTACCCAGACAACATTAGAAATAAGAAAAAACTCTAAGAAAAGCGTTATAAAGGGTGTTTCATTAAGACGGATCAAAGTCAGGATTAAATAAATCAGTGTTATTAGTAAAAATTTATTTATTTCACTATTGGGTCATGTTATTTAAGTCATGGCAATTATGTGTGAAAAATAATATTGCCCAAATGTCAACCAAATCTAAAAGAATAAAGAAAAATCATTAGATGCTTAAACTTAATTCACATTTAAAATCGGTCCAAATTATGGGAACACCCTTTATATATATATATATATATATATATATATATATATAATCGGAGTAGATAGGTTCGCCTGTCGCCCAGTTCACACTCCTTTCCTTCTTGTGAACAGGTCGAGAGGTTTATCCCTTGCTTCCTCTTTAGGACTGGGTTTCTCCTAAAGTCTTCTCATTCTCTTTCACTCTCACTAACCCCTTGCATCTTAGTATTATCATCATATTACTTGTGGGTAAAATTATTAAAAAATTCATTTTGTTTTTCTTAACTAATTTCAGCTCTTGTCTGCGAGAAACTCAGCGCCCCGACCAGCGGATATTTTGTAAATGACAAATGCAACAACAATTTCAACGCTGCCTGCGGTACACGCTGCCAACCTGGTTACGACCTGCAAGGAGATAGCGTTAGGATTTGTCAAGAAGATGGAAAATGGTCAGGAAATGTCACTCAGTGCGTCAGTAAGTAGTTCTACGATTTGCGCATACCCACCCCCGTTTTTCGAAAATTCGTTTTTACACTACTTCGCTATAACGAAAGTCGCATAGTAAAGGTTTTCTTTCTTTTGTAATCCGTCACAGGTACGTAATACAAGTGATAACAGAAAGACTTCAATGTAAAATAATAAAGTATGTAATTGCCAAACTCAATAAAAATATATTAACAACAAAGAAGTAAAGAGTCAACGGAAAGATTATTAATTACTTATCAGTTAATACACGACTGCGTAGAGCTGCTAAGAAAATTACTAATTCGTCTTGAAACACATGACACTTGACTTTAACGTCCAGGTTAACACAATAGTCAAATTCTTAACTGTAACCAATCAGTGGCATGATATTTCTATTTGTAATAAATGGTGGTCTACATTTCCATTGTCTAGAGATTCATGTTTAAACTTCGGTGCCAGCAGTAAAACAAATTAGTTTTGCATTAAGTAAAAACAACGTTTGTCTAGCAATATGTTAAGGGATTTACTTACTGAATTAGTAGGATAGGAAAACAAAATTCTTTCATACTAATCTCAAGAAACAAAAGTATTGTACTAATTTCGAGGTTCACACGTTACAGATTATTTCAATTGTAGGTTTAACACATGTTTTAAATCGCAATCTGGCGACTGAATATAGTATGTTGTTTGCTACTTGTACTAAATAAATCGTCTCGTATAGTGATGCTGATGCGATTTTCTTAATGTAAACGGAGATTTTTTTTAATTTCAGTAACAAAATAATCGTGCCGGAGAGAAAATTATTATTGTTGAGTCCTAAGTAATGTCTGTTTTTGTGAACCAATTGCAATGTCGAATATTTCATCCTATCTATTTATCATATGTGACAAGAATACATGTGTAGTACGCCACAGATACATATATGACACTTTCAATATCCGAAATAACGCAAAACGAAGAAGCAATTAACATTAATGTATAAGTGTAAAGTTTTCGCGTTTCCAGATCCTTCCCAAAAACTTCCTTTGTGCCTGCGTCCCTCGGTGTCAAAGGTCGATGTTCTTCGTCTGTAGCTGATGTGGAAGGCATGAAATACTACATTATGCTATGACTCTATAAATGGGTGACAAGACTGGGTTTGGGAGGAGGGGTGAAAAGTCAAACATATTAAGAGCTACAAAAGATAGGAAGTTGTGGAGAGCCATTATCTCAAAATGTCCTGAAGAGACCTAGCACATAGAAGTAGACTCTTATACTGAGCATGGCTAGAATTTTAAAATTATAATAATATATTTTAAAGAAATTTCTTTATGAAAAAATTACATGCACACAAATACACAAACACACACACACACACAGATATATATATATATATATATATAAATTTTAAAATGTTAAATGCATTATTTAAAATCTTTTAGCTCATTTTGGCAAAGTACTAGACGCTCTAATCAACTCTGAAATGATTAAGCTTCTCACTTCACACGGAACTTCTTTCAGATAAACAAAATGGCTTTCGTTGCTCTAGATCAACCGCCGATGTCTTCTCACTGAATTTATCTATTATGCTTTAGATAAGGACGATGATGTTCAGGTTGTGGCTTTAGATAAGGCCTTTGACAGATTTGGGCATGTTGACTCCCACAAGCTGAATAACTATGGTGTCTCGGATAGTTGACTTAATCCAATCGTTCTTAACGGGTAATGAAGGATGTATTGAACGGCCACTCTTCTAGATCATTTCACATTACTGCAGGGGTCACCCAGGGTTCTATACTAGGACCTACGTTCTTTCTTATCTTCATCAACAACCTTTCTGATCTCTTCAGTTTCTAACTAGTTATTTATGCTGATGACACAACTACTTACATGTTTTAAGAGTAAGTTCGATAGGTCTGAAAAATAACAGTAAGCGTCTGCAATAATATCCTCGAACAGTGGCCAGGTATACTGGATTAGCTATTAGGTTTCATCGTTTTTATTGTTAAAATAGCTAGATGCAACCGTAAGTTCTATTCTGATAGTTTCTTTTCTCGTACTTCTCACCTGTGGAACTCTCTTCTGGTTTCTTGCTTGTTTCTTCCACCTACAATCCTTAAAAATGTAAATGTAACATCAATCGCCATCTTCTGTCTTCCTGGACCCTGTTCTTTTATTGTCGTTTCTCTTCACTAAAGTCTTTCATTCTTTTCCACTCCCAGTAACCTTTTGTGTCTTAGTGGCATTATCGTCTTACGTAGGGTCAAATGATTTTTACAAAAAGTATAAAAAGAATTCGACGGATATTTTTTTTTATGAATCTATAAGTTTATTTTATAGGGATTTAATTCAGATTTCGGAAAACAAGATGTGTCCACTTGAACTGGTTGTTAGGGAAAGAGAATGAACATAACAAGTCCTATATATTTTATAAGCGTTTAATAAAACAAGGGACTAAAAGGAAAGAAAAAAAGAAGTTTGGACATTGCAGTGCTATGGCGTCTTATAGGAGTCCTTTTAACAGACCATGTGTGTAACTTCGGCAGCATCCTGTCGTAGCAGGTTTCCGTGGGATGCGTATGTTTTCTTGTACATAGCGTGGTCGTTGCACACAAAAAAATATGGATGTTCATTCGTGCTTCTTGCCTTTGAATAGGCCAGCTTGACATCAGCTTTAGATTTTTATTTTGGGCCTATGAGAAGTCCATACTTACAAAACCGGCACATTTATACACATACAAGAAATCCAAAATTCTCTTAAAAATATTGGTTTGAAGATTTGTATTAAACTTTTCCATTTAAAATTAGTAAATATAGATTTCACTTAATAATATGTTCATCTAAAAGGCTGAAATTAATACAGTATTTTAAAAGATTTAAAACTTAATAAATCTTTCTAATTAAAATAAAAAATAAAAAAAATTCTTATAAAAATTCATTATCCATCCAAATTTTTTTCTTAAAGCAATAGTGTTGTTAATAAATAACATATTTATAAAATCATTTAAAAGATTTTCTAAATGTCATAGTTTTATTGCATTTTTTATTTTACGATTCAGAGAAGATATTTGGTAAATGGTGTTTCTGTTTAACAAAGACAAACAGAAGAATTAAATTCTTTAAAGTGTCCTTCTTTTATCTAATATGAATGTGAAGAGGCTGAAATATTGATTTATCGAAATTTCATAAAATTAATTAAGTGGGGATAACAGATGTAAAAAAGAAATATTTTTATCAAGATTTTCTAAAAAACATATTTCAAAAAATAATTTTATAATTTGTGAAGATGTTCTTAAAATTTAATTAAAATCCGACAATTATTTGAATTTTGCAAGAATTTCCAAATTAATCAGTGTGTTTTTTTACCGACTAAAGGATGCTAATTTTCTAATACTAATCTTTGTCCCACCGCTGACACAAGGAAAACAAAATTTTTAACCAAATTTCTAACAGGCCAGAAAGAATTAAAAGTTTTTAATAAAATTATCAAAAAATACTTTGGCTTTTCCTCTTAATAACAACATAGATATTGTGACGATAAGACTTTGTTTTTATCAAGTTTGGGGCATTTTCTCATATGCTCTTTTTTAGAAAAATTCAGACGATACCTATTTTAATTCTCATGTTTTGGAGTCGTCCATCTTTTTTTTTTCTGATTCACTTTATTCTCATTCCCTCTTCAGTGAAAACATGTCCGTTTCTGCCAACACCAAAGAATGGGAACAGGATCTGCAGCCGAGGGGACTTTAGTTATTCAACCGTATGTCGTTTTACATGTGACAAAGGGTATAAGCTGATTGGTTCGAGAAAGAGGACATGTTTAGCCATCGCCTATTGGTCAGGAATTACAACCAGATGCAGAGGTACGTACGAATCTTGTCAATGCTTTTGCATGGAGTACAGTGGAACCTCGGTTCACGAATTTAATTCGTTCCTGAAAGCAGTTCGTAACCAGAAATGTTCGTAAACCGAAACTATTTTTCCAATAGGAATCAATGTAGAGAAAAAAAGACACAGCACAATAAAATTGGAAAAGAAAAGCACAACATAACAGATGAATATATACAACACGGGTTAACTCAGTTCGGCAATGTTGTTCGAGAACCGAAATTTTGATCGATGACCGAGGCATTTTCATCTCGAATTTTCTGTTTGAAAACCGATTTGTTCGACATGTGAGACGTTCGAGGATCGAGGTTGCATTGTATTTAGTTTCAGTTCAGTTGATTGTTATTGCTTTAGAATTTTCGGGTGGGGCATTATTTTTTCTGATCATAAAAGAAAAAAAATACATAGTATGGCAGATGACAAGGTGAGGTAGACAGGATCGAGTTTAAAGTGGGTTGCTAGCCCAGCTCGCATTTAGACGGGGGGACAAAAATTGTGCAAGCCTCTTTGGCATTTATTCTTTTTGGGGACGCCCCAGACGCCAGGTATAATCTATGCACCCTCCTCAAGGAAAGGTAATGTCTTGGATGCGGACCCTGAGGCCTGAGGACATAAAATTCATTATCACCTCCACCCACTGGCTTGGCTGGACCAGAAATGATGGCAGAGAGGAAAGATAGGTTGATACCGGTATTTAGAAATCTAAGCTTAGTCTAGAAAACACACACACACACACACACACACACACACACACACACACACACACACACACACACACACACACACACACACACACTGCTTACGGCCGTATCACGTTAAAACATGGGTTCCTGTGCGATCAACGCCATTAAGCGACGTTGAGCCTCGTTATTGCTTAGACAGGTGACCGCTTCGGAATATCAGATTTAGATCGTTATATTCATTCTCACGCAAATACCCTTGGGAAATGTATGAATTCAATTCTTCTACACCCCAATTATGGGTTAATTAGTATGCCTTTAAATAACCTGCAAAAAGGTTGATAATACGTAAAAAACAAATCAAGCAATTAATTTAGTCAGCCTCGCGCGTACACGCACCCGCTCACCGCGGTAGATGACGAAGAGAGACGAAGAGAAGGAGTAGATACTGGTATTTCCTCATTAAAGCTGAGACTAGCCCGAGATCAGAAAGTCGGATAAAAAACTCGTGTATCCAAGAATACGCAGCGCGGCAAAAGAATTGGTGAATTCCTGATAAAAAAGTAAGCCAATAATTCAAATATAAATCATGTAAATAATGAGTATTCTTCATTCCAGAAATTTAGACATGAATTAAATATAGTCAATATTATAAACCAGTATACATTTACCTTTTGAAGCATTGTGAACAGAACAATCATCTTTTATTTATCATTGTCATACATGTTCGATTCTTTCAAAATTTGCAGAAATCACCTGCCAACATCTGAAGGAACTAACATTTGGCACAGTGTCTCCAGAAGTATGCACAGGGGGTGGGGAGGTGCCGTTTGGAACCACTTGCAAGATGACATGTAATAATGGTTACACTTTGGATGGGCCACACACAAAACAATGCACACCCGATGGAATATGGTCGCCGGTCGACAAGGGAGAAGTCAGCCGTTGTATTGGTGAGTTTTTTCTCGGCATCTATCTATCTATCTATCTATCTATCTATCTATCTATCTATCTATCTATCTATCTATCTATCTACACTATAGGCAAAAAGCTTGGAGCAACCTTCTGGATTTCGAAAAATAGCCTAAAAGCTGGAGATTACTTGCTTTTTTCAAAACTAATTTACTCACTCACATCAAACCAGTGGGACTTTCTTTTCTTGAAGCGTTTATTATATATTCGATAGCAGCAACAAAAACAACAACAATAACAACAACAACAACAACAACAATAATAATAATAATAATAATAATAATAATAATAATAATAACAATAATAATAGGAAACTTAAAACTACGATTGTTCATGTTATGATAGCGGCGTTGGGTATGATAAAGAACTGTACCGAAATCTTGTGAGTAAAATTCCTGGAAACATTAGCATCTCAGAGCTAAAAAAAATGGTTATTGTGCGGAATTGCACATATCATCTCCCAAACCCACCCCATCTAAACGAAACTTTCCAAATGTGCATAGATAACTTTTCTACAGTCCGCTTTTTACCTATATACCTCGGAGGGGACTTGGTAATTAGGCACTTAAGATTTCTCCCTATCAAGATAATACCACCTGATAATAATAATAATAATAATAATAATAATAATAATAATAACTTTAAGTGGAAATTTCAAAAATGTGGCACATGAGGACATCAATAATTCCAGTTGTAGTTGGAGCCCTCGGATTAATTGGAAAAGGTTCCGATAAACTCATTGAAGGGATTCCTGGTAGTCTATGCCTTAAATAAATACAAAAAAATGTACTCACAAGTAAAAACTCTGGTTGAGACGTCAAAGAAAATGTGTAGACAACAGAAATCCGAGGTAATAATAATAATAATAATAATAATAATAATAATAACAACAACAAAAAACTAACCAATTAATGTATCGTTTTTTTCTTAAACTTTTAGCTCTTTTTGCTTAATCCTACTTGCTGACTAATGGCAATTTTAGGATTGGTGAATTTTAAATTTCAATTAACCCCGCTCCACATGATTGGACCCCACTGATGGGTTAAATAGTTTCAGAAACTTAGGTTAGTAGGAGTTAATTAAACCAAAGAAGATATGAAGTTTACTATTCTTTTTTGTCAATCAGTCCTTTCAGTACTTTTCTCTAAGTCTGTCTCAGTCTTTTTTTTAAAATTTGAATTCGTTTAATTTTTTTTCTATGTAAGTTAGCTTCTGTCTTTGTCAGTGTATCTGAGTTTTTCTTCATCAGTTTCAAATTTTATCTATGATTCCTTCTCCATTTCTCAGTCTTTCTCTTTCTGTCCTTTTTCTCTCAACTTGACTTAGTATTTTGGTTTCGCGATGCGCCATTCTTTCTCTAAGCCTATTTCCTAATCTTTCTACAGCAGTCTCTTTTAGACTCTCTCCTTCACTTTTCTCTTTCTGTCTGCCATTCTCAGTATTCATAAAAGCATATTTAACCCAGTTAAAGCCTCTTAACCCATATCCTTCTGGCGTCAGTTTAAACTTTCATTTTGAATATATTGTGACCATTTCGATTAAATTTCATATTTTCTTGTGTCCAGATGAAAATACCGAATCTTTGTAACCTATTTCAGTGATACTTTCACTTGCCAAAATATTCGTTCATAACTATAGCTTAGATCGAAATGAAAAAGAAGACGTCAGTTGACGTCAATCTACTTCCGTGGACCAAATAAAGCGTTCGGTTTAAAATTCAAACTTACATCACCTGAAGAAGTCCAGAGCGTACAACAGCCGAAACGTCGTGAATATGCCAATAAAGACGATACGAAGATGACACTGTGTTGATGGCGGATTCGGAAAGGAAAGTGAAGAACCTCCTAGACAGGGTGGTAGAAAAAAGCTAGAAAATAGGACTAACCATTAACTCCAGGAAAACAGAAAGCATTGTTATTGACAAGAGAAAAAACAAAGCCCAAGATGCGAGTTACGAATTGGATATATAAACACCAGACAAACGCAGGAGCTTAAATATTTGGGGAGCGTTTTAACAGAGGATGGGAAATGTGACACCGAGATCCGAACACGCACTGGACTAGCGAAAGAAGCATACCAAAAGCTAAGCAAGTGGCTGAGAAACGGAAACATTTCATTAGAAACAAAGAAAAGAGTGCTGGATTCCTATGTGGCCTCTTATTCAATCCACTTATATTGTAGAGGATGCTGGACAATTTCCCCACATTTGAGAAAGAAAGAAAAAAACGCAGCTAAGAGGCAACAGAAGACAGAAAGTGTGGTCTGAATGGAACAAAGAAAAGAGTGTTGGATTGCTATGTGGTATCGATCCCCTTATATGGCAGTGAATGTTAGACAATTTCATGAAGGACGAGGAAAAAAAAAACACGTGAGGCAACAGAAATGTGGTTCTACAGAAGGCTGTTAAAAATTCCGTGGACAGTGAGAGTAAGAATCGAGGAAGTCTGAGAGAAAATGGCAACAGAAAGAACACTTATAATCAGTATCAGAAAAAAACAAAAACAAAAAACAGCTGAAATTACTTGGACACATAATGAGGAAGGAGGGCTTAGAAAATTTAACCCTCATGAGGCATATTGAGGTCAAGATAGTGAAAGACAGTAAGCCATTCACCCGACGAGCTTGTGTGAATGGATGGCAGAACTAGGGTCTGAGCGGAGGGAGAAAAACTGCTTAGAGACACATGGAATAAAAATTTGTGGAGAGTCATGGTAGCCTATGTGTTATGGGGTCCACCCTTTTCGGATATAATGGACTCGTCCAGCTGCCATAAAATAGCCACAGTCAGTCAGAGAAGATGAGTCGTACATGAGTTGTATGGTAGTCGTCTGTGAGTGTCGGTAGTCGGATAGAGTGAAGTAACCTCTTGTAGAAGTCAGTTACAAGCACGTCGACTCTAAGGAAATCCTACTTCGAGACTGTATATATATCTATCTGTATTTGATACTAACCGGCGTTCCTGGATTTTACTAACAGCATTACCTTTTGTATTTTGTGTAAATACATTTAATTTATTAGCTTAAATACTTGCGTTTGTCATTTATTGGATACCTATTTTTCACGCAGGATCCACAACACTATGTTCTGATGGGGTGGGGACGTAGTACATAGAAAAAGAAGATTGGGTGAAATCCTCGTTGTCTTAAATAACTTTGGAATATCGAGTTTTAACCATGAAAAACAATTGTATTTGTACACCATTCCTTTTAATGCCAATGTCCATATTAAGATTCATTTCATTTTCGGTGTTCTGGGTATGACGATAAACTCCATCCGGCAGCAAAACCTCTAATCAGGAAGTTTTGAGGAGCGTGGAACTACCTTTTAATTGCTGTTGTTCCCAGGTCCACCCTGACCTGGGGTGGTAGCACCTGTTAGGGTCCCAGCTATGGGCAAATAGATAATCCCCAAACTGGTATCAAGATACTATGAAAGTATAAAAACACATTTTCATAGTAAAATACCAGTAATACATTTTCATACCTAAAATATTATAATAAAATACCAGCAATACATTAAATAAAAAATTGCCAGCAATGCATTTTTTTTATAAAAGAAATTATTAATGCTCTTAAGAAAACTAAATTTCGGCATTAAATGACCTATACAGAGTCGATATGTCGCTAAACAAAAAAAAATCCACCCCCCAAAACAAAACATACAAACACATTCTTTTTCTACCATTATTTTAATCATTTTTATGAAAACACTGTTAAAACACTTTATTCAATAAAATACACTATCAATTTGAACAGTGTATTCAGTGAATACACTGTCAGTTAGACTAGGGATCATATAGTTTATTAGTAAGCTTTTCTTGAATTTGTTTCTCAGCCTATGGTATTAATTCCCTGTTGCGTTAATTCCCCAATTTGCAGAGGATCTACTGGTTTTCTAAGCATGTTTTACTCAAGCACAGTTGATTACTTACTAGAGGATACTAGAAATTTCTCGGCCCGGCCAAGAAATACCTTCACCGAAATTCTGATATTTGGTCATTAGGTCAGATTTTGGAAAAAGGCAGTGCATTCCGCCGTAGAATCCAAGTTATTGTATTAGTGAAGGAGTTGCCTGCTAACCATTGCACCACGGCGTGCATCACACTTAGAATAGTATAATATAAATGTATTATATTTCCGTAACTAAAGAGAGTATAAGTGATAAGAATCGTGTCTGGTATTTTAATGGTTTCTTTTGTTGGGACAAAAAAATAACTAATATCGGTTGGATAGGTTGATACTGGATAATTAAGGACGACATTTTCATTTTTTGGACGTAAAAACAAAATAATAATTTACGCAAATTCGAACAACTTTCATTCTCTCTCTCTTTTTTTCTATTTTTAAGAATTTAAGACCTCCTAAGTGATATTCTATAAAACAGATAAAAGAAAAACGAAAAAGAAAGAAAAGAAAAATCAAATAACAAAGACAAAATTTACTTTAATTAAATCAAAAATTCATTAGCCAAATAAGATGAAATAAAATCCTACATTTCACAGTACAATATACGGATCTTTCCTGTGAGTTCACCCTTATCACCTCAAAATAAAAAAAAGAATTTATATTTACTAAAATTCTCACCAAATTCTTCCAGAGCGACGCCCTTTCATTTCCCTCCCGTTGGGTTGACCATTGCGATCGCCTCAAATGTGGGCGACTCGAGTATATTTCAATATTTTTTTTGTGTAATTTTGGTAATTATATCTGTTAAAATGAGATGTCAGTGTTATTTTCATTTTTGCGTAATTTAGATGACAATTTATCCATCGCACACTTGATAGTTGATTCATGTAGAATATTTTAATTTGTATTGGTGTCGTTATTTTTTATTAGAATTAATTAATTATTTTTAATTAGTTAATTAGTTTATTGACTTTAGAGTTTAAGGAAATTATTGCTAATTAGATTTATATTTGACTTCATTAAGAAATATTTTGTGTAGAGTATATTAAATTTCTTAAATTCTTTATGAGGGCTATGTTATACTTATGTGAGCATTCAATTTTGTCATTAAGATGTATATGCTAAATGTTTCTTCTTTCATTTCTCGCTTGCGGAGCTCTTTTCCGGCTTCTTGCTTTCAACTCAACTTTAATCTTCAAAAATATAAATGCAATGTCAATCGTTAACTCTTGTCTTCTTAATTCCTGTTCTTTTATTGTTCTCGCTCCTTAATTATATTTTTCTTATATCCTTTTACACTCCGTAAACACTTGCGTCTTAGTGGCTTTAGTACTTTGCTTGGGGTGAGATGATTCAAAAAGTTCTTAAACGTTCTGCATATTTCTGTGTACCTATGAATTTTTAGTTATTTATGCCGTTATTAAATCTTCTCAGACCGGTAACTTCGACGATGCGTTTGTGGTGTCACATAATTTTACAGTTGAAATCGCAGTTCTCGCTTGTGGAACTCTCTTCCAGCTTCTTGCTTCCCAGCCATCTTTGATCTTCAAAAATTTAAATACAATCTCAATCGTTTTCTCCCGTCTACTTAATTCTTGTTCTTTTATTGTTCCTTCTCTTTAATGATGTTTCTCTTTTTCTTTTTTCATACTCAGTAATTCCTTCTGCGTCTTAGTGGCTTTCTTGCCTTGTTTGGGGTGAAATGGTTAAAAAATGTATATATGTATATTTAATGATTGCGTATTCGGGTAGTAAATCCTTTCTAATACATGTTTCTTTAAAAATGACGGGGAAAATACTGTTAAGGTTTTTTTTTTTTAATTATGTTTTTCTTGTGGAAAAGAAGAGTTTCCTAAGTGGGACTTCGTGTGCAGAAATTGTGCGAATGATTGTTCATTCTGAGCGCTTTCGACTAAATCTAATAAAGAAATCTCTCGGTCACACAGTAGAAAAACAAAATAAAGCAATTAACAGAAGTACGGTGTCATTCATTTAAAAAAAAAAGTTCATGTATGCCTGTTTGTATTTGATGAGACGTCTTCAAATTTGAAATTTTTTGCATCCTCTACCATTTTGCAGATACTCGTCCACCCCTGATTTTATGTCCAGCAAAAATTGAGGTTGAGACAGATAAGGATATGAACAGCGCTAATGTGACGTGGATCCCGCCGTTTGCCATTGATAACTCTGGACTTGTACCCACTCTGACCGCTATACCGGCAGTGAAACCACCAACGCGTTTTTCGATTGGAGTGTCCGAAGTGACCTACATAGCAGAAGACGCTAATAAAAATAAACAAGAGTGCAAGTTTAATATTGTTGTCAAGGGTAAGTAAACATATTTAGTATCTTTGGATTGCATTGATGTTATGTGTAAAAGAAATTGAAGGATGTAGAATTTTTTGTTTCAAAGATAATATAACCTTCTATATTTCCACGGCGTGAGTTGATGGTGTAATAATGGCTTGGGGTGGGGGATAAATCAGCAAGCCAAGTTCAAATTCCAGTAGCGTTCATTACTTTCACTTCTATGTAAATACTCTTGGGAAAGGTATGAATCCATCACTTGTCCCCCCAGCAATGGGTTAAATAGTAGAGTAGACTGGGCTCTTTAATCTTGGCTAGTAAGCAGTCTAGAAAAAGGACAATTCTTAATTCAAAACAGGTTCGGTATGCGGTCAGCAGCTCCATCTCGTAAGCAAAACATCTTTGCTACAGAAAATGTAATCGAAACGTCAAGTGAATTGCGGTTGTAACCCATACTCTATAAGTGGATCTCTCAATTATTGTTGTTCCCAGGTCCACTCTGACATGGTGTGGTAGCACTTGTTAGAGGTCCCAGCTATGGCCAAACAGTGAATTCCCAAACAAAAATTAAAACGTCTTTTATAGTAAAAATACCAGTAATGGAATTTTTACAAAAAAAGTACCAACATTTTTGTAACGACAATACTAGCATACATAAAAAAAATTATTACCACTAATACATTTTTATAGTAAAATGATCAGCAATACATTTTATAGCAGAATGTCCAACAATACATTATAGAGTAGAATTACCAACAATACATTTTTATAATATAATGACTAACAATACATTTTATATTAAAATGACCAACAATCCATTTTTATAGCAAAATGATAATACAACATCAAAAATGTATAAGAATACTTTTTTTATAGTATAATCACCCTTAATACGTTTTAAAAATAAAATTACCAACCATACATTTTATCATCTACAATCTATATATCTAAAAACAAATGTTTACCCGGAAAACATAAAATCATGTACAAAAATCTGTAGCAGAAGGCATAGAATTGCGTACGAAATATTTAGATTTCAGCATTAAATAACCCATAGAGATTGAAATGCCGAAAATATCTGATTATGAGCCGTTGTAAACTTCGTATGTTTGCTTTAATTTTGTATGAAAATAAAGATAAAAATTGTCCAACATTTGTATATTTCTTGATTAAACTGGTCCTTGATCTAAGCTTTTGGATCACATCAGTCATCTTCAGGGCGAGCTTAATAAGAAATAGCCAAATAATGGCTCATGATAAAACATAATAGACAACATTCATTGTCTGTTATATTTAACAATATATCATTAAATAATGATCTGCTGCCCCAATACACTACACACACACACACACACACACACACACATATATATATATATATATATATATATATATATATATATATATATATAATAAAAAAAAAAGCTAAAAGGTACTCCACCTGTGGAAAGGATAGTCAATATTTGAATGAAGTTGAAGCTAAGGTTTAAAACTATTCATTCAGGCGTAGTGTGACGTTGGCATAGTACACCTGGCGGAGCCTGTCCTTCTCTAGATCTGAACAGCAGCTGTCTCAAAACTATCTGAAAAGACAAGAAGATTTATCAGTTGTTTTTATTTCATGATTAGATTGTATGTTTGATCTTGTTGACAAACAATTTACATATGAAACAGAAACGTTACTTTTTGTTATTATGTTAAAATGTACTGGTAATTACCTAAAATAGCCTTCTAGCGATAATTCATCAATATAATATAATATAATGCATGGTACAATATAACAGTTATAAGAAGAATAGTATTATCTGTTTAATCCCCGTAATAATTATCTGCGTTCATCATGAACCTTGGTGTCTAAGAGACTTTTAAAATCGGTTTTAAATGCATTCAAAATAAATATTTGACGCCATTTTCTTTTTTCTTTTCTTTCAATTTTCCATTTTCCCTAGATACCCAGCCTCCGCGAGTGGATAGGTGTCCTAGGCAGTTGACGGTAGTCAGCGAAGAACTCCTGACGAACGTCACATGGACCGAGCCACTTTTCAGCGATAATTCGAACCAGCCACTCCGCATCACGAAAACGCACGAACCAAACAGCCTGTTCCGACAGGGAGTCACCAATGTCACGTACACGGCATTCGACCAATCGGACAACGCCAGTAATTGCACCATCAAGATTTACGTCATAGGTACCCGTCATCCTAGCCCTGTAGATTAAAATAAGTAAAAAGTAAAGAATATTTGAAAGAAAAAAATTAAAACAAAAAGCATAGAACGCTCCTGCTCCATGCAAATGTATTAACTCAAAATTCACCATGAAACACATTCAATATGTATGTATGTATGTATGTATGTATGTATGTATCTATCTATCTATCTAGCTAGCTAGCTAGCTAGCTCAGTCTGTTTATCTATCTATCTATCTATCTATCTATCTATCTATCTATCTATCTATGTTTGTCTATCTATCTAGCTAGCTAGCTGTTTGTCTATCTATCTATCTATCTATCTATCTATCTATCTATCTATCTCAGTCTGTTTAAATCTATCTATCTATCTATCTATCTATCTCAGTCTGTTTAAATCTATCTATCTATCTATCTATCTATCTATCTATCTATCTATCTATCTATCTATCTATCTATTTCAGTCTGTTTAAATCTATCTATCTATCTATCTATCTATCTATCTAGCTAGCTAGCTAGCTAGCTAGCTAGCTGTTTGTTTATCTATCTATCTATCTATCTATCTATCTATCTATCTATCTATCTATCTCAGTCTTTTTTAATTTATTTATCTATCTATCTATCTATCTATCTATCTATCTATCTATCTCAGTCTGTTTAAATCTATCTATCTATCTATCTATCTATCTATCTATTTCAGTCTGTTTAAATCTATATCTATCTATCTATCTATCTATCTATCTATCTAGCTAGCTAGCTAGCTGTTTGTTTATCTATCTATCTATCTATCTATCTATCTATCTATCTATCTATCTCAGTCTTTTTAAATTTATCTATCTATCTTAGCTTGTTCATTTATTTATCTTGGTGATTTCACACGCTTTTACTTATGAACAAAATCATACCCAAGGTAATATTAAATTGTTGATATATGTGTTCTAAAATAACAAAATATTAATTTTATAGAATTGAATAATCAGCGAAGCTTATGAGGATTTTTTAAAATCGCATCCTGATCACATTTGCCGATTACATTAATGTTCAGTTATCTTGTTATTCACGCCTTAAATATATTTATTATCAGAATCTGAAATTATTCCCCGAGTTTTCTTTTGGTAATGAACAATGACCATGAAAACAATGGAAGAAAAGCTTGGATCTACCCTAGAGAAAAAAACGAAAATTCTATTTTTTCTACTCTCTCTTTCTTTGTTCGCTTCGGCTGCGTTCATTTTTATAAATCTCGTTTGATTTTTGAATTTGAAGGAATCAGCCTCTTGTTAACCATATGATTGATGCTTTAAACTATTGAAGTTACGAAACAGTTTTTCATTGTTCTGTGACTTGGACGGCGATAATTCACTTAACTGCACTATTTTTTGAATCGTTTCACCCCGAGCAAGACAATGAGGTCACTAGAACACAGGGGGTTACAGGGAGTGAAAATGAAAGTGAATGAGAACTTTGAAAATAGGGAGGATTGAGGAAAGGGAAAACAACGAACAGGCTTCAAGAAGACAGCCACTGACGTTGCATTTAAATTTTTGAAGATTGTAGTTATCAGGGAAGCAAGAATTCGGAAGGGAGCTCCACAGGTGGAAAGTGCGAGGTTGCATTTAGCTATTTCAACTGTAAAATGGTGAGACATAATTGCCAGTCTAGTAGCACTCTTAAATTCCTGTAGTCGGGGCACCAGGCATAGCAGCAGTTGCCATAAAATATTTGTAGAAAAGACAGAGGGAAGCCACGTCACGACGGTGATAAAAAAATGACTGGTCAGGATTGATTATATTACATATCCTTCTTTGGATTTTGTCAAGAATCTCGTGATGTACAGCAGGAACACCAGACCAGATATGGCAACAGTATTCAATGCACGAACAAATGGTAGATTTATAAATGTGCAAGAAAGATTCTGACAAGAAGCATTGTCTAGCACGGCATTGTGAATCAAATTTCCTAGCAATAGACCTAGCAGTTGATTCAATATAATCATTCTGCTTTATGTCAATGGAAAACGTGAGCCTAAGAAGGCGCAAAGTGTTGCTTCACTATGAGTTTAACATCAGTTATGCTGTTGGCAGACAGAAAAAGCTTCTCTGTGGTGATTAAATGAATGCAGTTGTATTTTGGAAGCATTAAAATTTACAAGGCGTTCATTTTCCCAGTTAACCAGGAAAAGTGAGTCCGTCCTGGGTATAACTACATCTGTCAGCAAAGCTTTTGGTCGGGAGGTTTTAAGAAATCTGAAGAGAGTTCCACAGGTAGGAAGTGCGAGAAATAAACTGTTAGAGTAGAAGTGTCGGTTGCACTTAGCTATTTCAACAATAAAAGGTCGGACATAGTTGTCAATCGAGTACCACGTTTAAATTCATATAGTCGGGGCAGAAGGGAAAAAAAGTTTTTTTTAGAGAAGTTGCTATGAAAATATTTGTAAAAAAAACACAGGGAAGCCATGTTACATCGGTGAGAAAGTGACTGAAGTTGAGTTGCCTGGTCAGGGTCAGTTGCATTACAGACCCTTCTTTGGATTTTCTCAAAAAACTTGAGATGTGCAGCAGGAGCACCAGACCAGATATGGCAACAAAATTCAATGCGCAGACAAATGGATCAGTCCATATATGATAACAGGGAGGGTAACATCCTCTTACCACAACAATATATAATATATATATATATATATATATATATATATAAATGTAAGTGAACATAGAAGTCAACACTTAGAGGCGACAGTCTGTTTCATGCTAGATACAATCGTCAGGCCAGACGATTGCATCTAGCATTAAACAGATTGTCTCCTCTAAGTGTTGACTTCTATGTTCACATTTATATTTACACACGCTCTATCTCTGATGCTGAGCACTTTATCCCATAAATATAGCACATCTTAAGACTATATTTCTAATTCATATATATATATATATATATATATATATATATATATATATATATATATATATTGTTGCTTTTAGTGGATATCTGTATTTGAGTAGATGATCCGTTTTATTCTAATAGTGTAATAAAATATGTCAGATTAAAAATAAAATCCAGTAACTCTTCATATATATTATTAATTTAATTTATAATATAATATGTTATCATTAATTATTTAATTAATCTAGAACAATGTATATTCTGTACAATGGAAAAACATATCATGTTGTGATATATTATTACATCATTGCTCAAAAAGTTCGTCCCGGATTCGAAAATGAAAACAATAAAAATCGGGCACGAAATTTTGCAATGAACCAATATATTAGGTTGGTGCAAAAATAATGACGTAATAATGTCGTTTTTTGACGTTAAAAAATACGTCAAAAAACGACATTATTATTTTTGCACCAACCTAATATTTAGTGGGAGAGATGAAACTAAATGCTGGAAAAATGGTTCCAATACAATTTTCTTTCTTCCTTTGTTTCTCTTGATATCTTCTTTCAAATTTTTCTTCTAGTTTCTAAAACCCCGGTCACTTTATCATTTCAGCTTTTTAACAAATTCAATCCGATTTAAAAAAAAAAAAGGGAGAGAATCACACTCACATATTGCATCATGTCCACCATTTCCCTTGTAAATTCTCGTTTGGAATTTATACATTTGCTTGGAGCAAAGCAAAGTAGAGCTGTCGCTAATTTAGAAGCATGTTGTAGAAAGTCTTGATTGTCTTCTTCCTTATTCGATCCACCAGTCTTTGCTTGCCCGTTTTTTTTTTGTGTCGTCCTTTATATCGTGCAGATTGCAACATAGTTTTATTTGTAGTTGTTTTTATAATTTTTATTGTTGTTGTTATTGATGATGATTATTATGATGATGATGATGATATGATTGTTCTTGTTTATGTGTCCAGTTAATTTAATTTGAATGTCTGTAAAATTTTGCTTGCTGATCTCGTCTTTTGTCTTAACAAGTCTTGCATAAGTTACATGAATTAGAAATGACTTCACTCGTCCTTTACTGAGTAGCGCTTAAAAAAATATTTTAAATCCAAATCTACGCCATTGTTATTAACAAGCACTGAAAAAACAAACAAACTGGACTATAGGTATTTAATAATGCCATCAAAATAGATTTTGTTTTTAATGCTTGGCTTTGCTGTTCTATGACACAATACCACAGATTTTAAGCACCTATCGAATCACTTCATTAGCAATATTTTACGAGATTAAATATTAATTTCCTAGAGTCAGAAAGAAACAGCTGCAATCTCTTGGACACTGAAGAGAGGAAAGAGAGCTTGGAATATTAGATACTCACAGGGCATATCGAAAGCAAAAGAGACAGTGGGAAACAGCGGGCCACCTACCCGACGATTTTGTGTGAACAGATGGCGAAACAGGATTGGGTAAAAAGCGAAACTTACTAAGAGATACAAAAATAGGAAGTTGTAGAGAGCCATGATCACCCATGTCATGAAGGAACACAGCGCATAAGACAAAAAAGTAGCTTACATTTGACTAGTACATGCTCACAGGAATCGTACGGAAGCGAAGATCGAAATGGCTGCATAAACTAACGGTCCCGTCGACATGTCTAATAACTTTTTTTACGATACAAGGTGTCTTATGTTTACTAACCTTAGCTTAATCTGACACAAGGCTTTAATAAAGGGGCGCCCAACAGGAACCGAATCCAGACCCCTCTTAGTAAAGTTTCTTCAGATTAACATTACTTAGTAGCCCTTTATAGATAACCAGAAAGTTCGGCTAAGTGTGGCACAAGGCTGCAGTATAGAGTACTCAGTGAAGATAGAACGTACGTTTTCCAAACTCTACTAGACTAGCTTATGTCTAGGACAGGGTAAAAACAGTAGAGAACCAATAAGAATTGAAGTTACAACAGGATTAAACTTGTTTTCTTCATTAGATTGTGAACATCCCCTCTACCGCAGGCGCCGTTTGCAAGCAAAGGATAACAATACATATTTTAATACAATGACCAACAATATATTTTCATAGTAAAATGACAATCATACAACACTAAAAACGTGTAAAAATACATTTTTATCATATAATTACCAGCAATCCGTTTTTAAAAATAAAATTGCCAACGGTACATTTTATCATGTACAAAATATATATCTCAAAACATACCTTTGCCTTGGAAGTTTAAAACTATGTACAAAATATCTGTATCTAAACCACAGAAATGTTGATATGCCGCTAAACAAAATCAACCAATCCACAGATGGAGTATCCAAAGGGGATTGAACTAACACCACCAGTAAATCTACAAAACAATTAACATACTATTAGGTTGGTGCAAAAATAATGACGTAATAATGTCGTTTTTTGACGTATTTTTTAACGTCAAAAACGACATTTATTACGTCATTATTTTTGCACCAACCTAATATTTATCAGACTAAGAAAATCTCAGTGATGCGTGAAATCGACAGTCAATATGCAGTATTGATTACTGTATTTATACTGTCTTTATCTAGAAACGCTCTGTCTTACTGTATGCAAAATTTAAACTTATAATATATATATATATATATATATATATATATATATATATATATATATATATATATATATACACACACACACATATATATATATATATATATATATATATATATATATATATATATATATAGGACTCTCCTGACAGCCAGACACCAGCATATTGGTGGAAGGTTTGATGCAGAACCAACCACATTTTTTGAAGGGCCAAATACAGAGACCTGGTGCACTAACAAACAACCCTCCATAGGTTTTGAATTCAGAGTTGTCCTTCTCTTAGACCAGTTGCCATCCACAGCTATAGAACCCAGTCTGTCCTGCTATTTACCCATAGCTGGAGGGAGAAGAAGCGGATTAATACCTTTCCCAAGTGTA